TTAATTCAATATTTAAGTAGCCTTTCAATTCAGTATTTTGTCAGAAACTGGTAGTTGCAAAAGGTGTGTAAGATATGGTGTTTTAGTGTTGTAGTTTTTTTTTTTATTTACCTTTTTTATTTGGAAAACTTCTCTCAAATTTCAAATGATTTTTTAATAGCATTTAATTTAAACAAGGAAACTTGACATCCCTGAGAATAGGCTATAACTAGAAAAAGATATCAAAGAAAGTGTTGAGTAGGTACAGTTTATGCCTGGGGAGCTAATGTAGCAAACCCACATTCAAGAATATATTGACTATTGCCCCTAAGTCTCATAGCAAGTTTGTCAGCAAGTAGCTTTGCATGTTATTTGTGTCTGTGTTTATGAATGTGTATATTACAAAATGAAAGTTCTTTTGATTTTAAAAGTGTGGAGTCACTTTAGAAGAGATATTTGAATATCTCTTAATGGTTATATTTTGCTATTTCGTAATTATCCACACTTAATCTTATGCTCTAATTATTTTTCATGTCTCTATGCTTTTTGTTGTTGGTCTTTAATAAGAGATAATCAAAAACTCATTAGGATCCTGGGGGAAGGAAGGATGGGAGAGAGGAGAAGACAGGAGAATAAAGATTTGCTTTCTATTTCATTTTTCCTTCTAAGTTTTATTGCGCATCATTATCTTTGTTTCCATTAATCTATTCTTTTCAGGATATAATTTTATTTGTGCCTCTTTTGTGATTGGTCCTTGTTGCAAGATTTATCAGCATTGTGTATCGTCTTTAATTTTCCATAATGACGTTCTTATTTGAGCCCTGAGGTCTGGTTTGGCTCTGCTGCATTTAATGGCACATGTGTAGAAAGTCACTCTGCCCCATTTGGGATTGCGTTCATTATAATTGGTCTCATTCTGCTTCTGTCTAGTATTTCAGTTGTTGTTTACATGAAACTGCATGCTTTCTAAGTGGAAATATTTCACACTCTTATGATATTTATTTAGGTTACAGATTTAGGCTTTTATAGCAGTTCTTATTTGGAAATTTACCCATGCATTATAAGTTTGGATAAAATTTGAAGAAAAATTTTCCCATTTTCAAAAGCACAAATCTTCTTGGTATATCTTTACCCTCCCTTGAGATATCCTTACCTTCCCTTGAGATATCCTTATCCTCCCTCCCCGCACAAAGGAAAAGGACGCATGAGAAGTGGGCAAATTAGATTCTTCATCTATGTTCCTTTAGGTCTTCACTACGTCTAAGCATTCTCAGTCTACCTCTTTTCATTCCATTCACTCTTCGGTCTATTGCTGTTTTCCAAACATTTCATACATTGACTATTCCATTTACCATTTACTATTTTCTATTTACTATTCCATTTTATCTCAAGGCTCAATGCTTTCGTATGGGGAAAGTGAAGCCCTTATTGTCAAGGATCAATAGAGACTCTCTGAGGCACCATTTGGTTTGGGGTGCCTGATTTGATTTCTAGAGTTTGAGTTAGGTGCCCACCTTCCATTCCCCACCATACCACCCCAAGTGTAATTATCATACCTTGGATTGAACCAAACTGGAAATACTGGTTCAATTGGCTGGTTCTCTCATTAGACTGCAGTTTCCGGCAGTCTGGGGACTGCATCTTATCTGTTTTCTCTCCTCCAGTTTATCTTCTATCAATTCTTACCTTTCAAAGCCAAACTCGACCTCTTTGGTCACTAAATCTCACCTGACCATACTGACCCTTAGTGCTCTCTCCCTTCTGTTAACTCCTGAAACTGATTTTTGCAACATTCGCAATCTTATATGATGTGCATCGCTTTCTACTTTCACTCAAATGTTTATTCTATGCTTTATATCAGCGGTCCTCAACCTTTCTGGCACCAGGGACCGGTGGTCCTATGAGAATCCTAGTCTGAGGTGGTCTGAGGTGGAGCTGAGGCGGTGATGCTAGCGCTGGGGAGTGGCTGTAAATACAAATAAAGCTTTGCTCTTTCATCTGTTGCTACCTCCTGCTGTGCGGATTGTTGGTTGCCAGCAGACCACGGACGGGTACCAGTTTATGATGAGATCATATTATTTATCATAGCCTTCCCCCCACTACATTGTATCAAACATAGTATTATACATTTATTTACTCATTTTAAAATAACATTTGGTTATTCAAAAATAAAATATCCATTTCTTTATATGTACATATATGTGTAGTATATATGATATATGTGATGTATGTGATACATGTATGCGTACATAAGTATATGTATACATACTTATAACTGCATCTATAACTAAATGTGTTCACACACATGTAAATGCATATGTAAACATAAATGCACATGAGTGTATGTGTGTATACATACATATAGATACTAATGCATATATTGATATTTAACTATATAATTATATTTTTTAGAAAAAATAGAGATTATCTAAAGCATTATTCATCTGAGATGCTTGTCTTGATCCCCATAGTCTTTGTTTGGCACCTTCTTTCCATATTTCATAAGTGTATTCATCATATCTTTGTTTCTACCAAATTGAGAATTATTTATATATGTATGTGTGTATATATGTATATGTGTGTATGAGTATGTGTGTATCTTTTAATACATTTCTTAGCTAAATAATATATTTTAAGTATTATAATTCCTTTTATTTTAAATATTATTAGGACAGATACAAAATATCTTTCCACTCGAGATTCAATGATAAAAATAGTTAATAGGAATTAGATGATAATGAACATTTAACATATATTCCTTTAAATTGATGCTTTGCTGTCATATAT